ATTTATAAAGAATATTAATATCCACCGTTGATCTGAGATCGAACGGTGGATATTAAATCTGACTTTTTTATTTTTTTTCACCGTTGAGATCGAACGGTCTAAATTAAGTAACCGTTGAGATCTAACGGACCATGGGAAGCCACGTGGCTTTCCAACGGTAACTGACAAACTTTTTTTTTTCTGATTTTGTGTCGGCGATGCGCCCCCACGCGCGAGTGGGGTGCACGCGCTTGACACAAAAAAAATTTAATATTGCCTGACGTCACATGGCCTTAGGCTCTCGGGCTGGCAATCCCCCACGGGCCCGGAGCTCGGGCCTCCACCTTCGGTCAGGCTAGCCCACGCTGGAGCTGATGTTGGAAATGTGCCCTAAAACCAATCATATGATGATACTTTATGGACATTTCACATGTTAAACTAATCTAGTTTAATATTAAGGGCAAACATTATTGTTTGAGCCGTCTCATATAAATGTTATATGCTTAAACGATAAGTCCAAGGAATATGTGATTGGAAGAATGCGATCTAAAGAAGTTAGATTCATGAGACCATTCTTTCGTTGACACATCCTAAACGTTCCTGATCATAGGATTGTCAATTGGGCATTGACAGTCCGTTAAGATTAGTACGTGCTATGTCTTCTCTCAGGGAGAGTGACTAGTCTCGAGTCATTGGTGTGTGTGACATCAAGACAAGTACGTAGGTGCTCAATAGAGAATGAGTTCACTGAACACGATCAACGAAGAGTTCTCATATTCATGTCACATGAGAACTCATGGTTGGGATAATGCAAATTAGTCTTTTGACCTGAGGCATCACAGTTGTCTTGTGGTTAGGTCCTTAATCTTTGATTATGTCAAAGTCACTCCATCAGGAGGGTGTCCATGGCATCGTTGGGGTTAAGCCACTTAGCCATGGAGGCAAGTGAATGCGCAACAAGGGATCTCTAACCTTCAAACTGTTTGAGGGAGAATACTCTATGATATGATTAAGAATCTTTGGCCAAAGTATGAATGAGATTTAGGAATGTGTTCCAAATCACATTCAAGGTAATCATATAAGCACAAGACTCACATTGGATAGTAGACATGAATAAACTATCAAACCAAACAATGTGGTCAAGAGTATTGTATTAGAGAAAGACCGTATTGCATTTGTAATCCTAAAACTGAATAGGTTCTCCACCTCTTCTGATTAGCTTGGGTAACCATGACATACTGCTAGGTGTCAACTATGGTTTGTGGAAGCCCTAAAAGTGTATTATCACTAACGGGAGAATTGAAAGTAAGTTTCAATTCACAATCGATTAGAAAGAGTTTTAATCGCCCACTGCCTCGCTAAAAGGAACCTAATGGATCGTTCACCGAGTAAGGTAGAGTTTGAAGAAACAACGGAGATGAGTAAGAATAATTAAATGGTTTAATTATTTATCTAAGGCTAGGATTAATTAATATGTTAATTAATCAAACGAATAAGTTCGTTAAAGACCTCGGGTTAGTTTTAGGCCGCAAGGCCCAATGGGATTTGAATGTCAAGCCCATTAACTCAAGTTGTATGACAACTTGAATAAACAAAGGGCTTGAAAGCCCAATAAACCCTATAGGCTTGCCATGTTAGAAGAATAGGGCTTTTGGTCCATTAGGTCACTTATTTGAAGGGACTATATAAAAGACTTTATAGCCTAAAATTTACATATGGTCATTTTTGGGGAAAGGATGAGAACACAAGCTCTCCTTTCTCTCTAAAATTTAGGCCACCTTGGAGGGATCATCTAGCAATCAAACTCCTCCAAGGTCACTCATTTTCTTCTTCATTATGCCTTGGTGATGAATCATTAGAGGTTCTCAATTTTGGGAACTTGGAGAAACTTTTTCATCCATCCAAATCCATGGATCTAAGATGCAAGGAATGAAGGCCCTCTCTTTGGGTGATTAGCCTTTGCTTATGCAAAGAGGAATCTACAAAGGTATTGATTTCTCAACTCACTTTGCTTTGAGTTGAGTCTTGGTTCACCTATCTACTAGGTTTTGAATTTCATGGGTAAATGTTTTGTTTTAAGTGCATACAAGCATGATTCCGCCTTTAATTGTTAATTGCATGCTATTGATGTTGCTTAAATGAATATGTTTTTCACAAATCTTTCTTCAGCTGATCCCCTGGCCCTTGGGCCCTTGTTCTGTCCACCTTCCCCCGAGCAAAAAGCCACGCTGGGCTTGCTCTTAGCGACGCCGCTGTTGTGCCTCGGCTCCCAAATTGAAGGCGTTAGTTTCCTTTACGCTTAAAGGATGAGCACTTGGTATGCCTTCCCTCATTCTCTCCATTTAGTCAAAAACAACCGTCTGACTTTTATTAATCCACAAAATCACACATGCATTATTCCATGTGTTTACGTGATTAACGTTACTGCTTCTTTCCTGCTTTCGACTGCTTCTTGAACCCTTTTACTTTGCACGCCTACCACTCCAATCAATTTGGTCTTCGGTCTTTAATTGTTGCCAATTCAATTACATGAGCCAATTAATCACAACATGCGGCCCCCCACATTTTCGATAGTTGACTCGCGCCGCTGACGCTTGCGTGGCCTGGTGCTCTAAGGTGTACGAGACCTTTTGATACAACAATGCTATTCTTACCACATTAATATACCACATTAGTATACCACATTATGTGGCATCTGATGTGGTTGTCCACATCATCAAATTAATCATAATTTAATTTAAATTAAAATCTATTTAATAAACTAATAATAAATAAAAAATCTGAAATTAAAAGGTATTTGTGGCATACGAGGAGTCTCTTCTCCTCTCCTCTCCTCTCATTCCTTCCCCGATGCTTCTTCTTCCGTTTCTTCTTCCATGCCATTTTTTTGTTTTAGCCCAGATTTTGTTCAGCAGCCTCGCCATTGATGGAAGCAGATCTTTTTATTTCAGTTCTCAAACCATTGAGGTAAGAATGCAAACCCAACTTTCCAAAATAAAAAATCTGAAATCATTTCCTCTTTCAGTTCTCACTCTCTCTCTGTCTCTCTCTCTCTCTCTCTCTCTTCTACAGGTACAGGACCTAAGTAACTAGTCTAGCTTATTGCAAACCCAACTTTCCAAAATAAAAAAGAGACTAAGGTGAATACCTGAAAATTTGTTCATAGAAAAATGACACTGGGGGTTGAAGAAGAACCCGAAAATTTGGAGGACACTAACCACGTGATGATTATTAGCAACCCCATATATGAAGGTAATTATTTTTATTATTTATTGGCATTCAGGTTCTACTTATCTGTTAATTTGATTCAAGAAATTGGAGTTTTAGTTTCATTTTTCTTTTATGAAAAGCTTAGAAAATTTGTATATACCATTTACTGGAGGTCTGTAATTCTTAGATTAATAGAGTAAACAGAACAGTTTGAATGAAGCCCACTCAATATAAATGTATATACCCCATGCATACAAACAAGCACATATATATTTTTATAGCTCTAAAATCTTCAACGAAGTGGGATATAACTTTTAAAAACTTTTAAGAAGTGCAATATTTATAAATTTGTAAGCAATTGAGATTTCCTTTTTTTGTTTTTTTTTTCTGCTACTCGGTCATATTGTCATCTTGTTGTGCATCTCTTTCAAAATCTTGGTATTTAATTATCTGATCTTTGTGTTTCATTACCTGTGTTTAAATTCTTTGGGGAAAAATGGAAGATTCATTTAGAGAGTTGCTTAACCAGATTCGAACGCATAAGGTATCCTCTGCATCCAAGTGTAGGTTTCATATGAAGAAATTTAGTGTATATACCCACCCGATGTTAGAATTCTTGCGCTTGACAGGGTCGGCACTATGAAGTGTTCTTATTGTCCAGTTCAAAATTTTTAATTTTATTTTTTAAATTATCTAATTATTGTAATTGGCCTAGCTTTCCAATATTATATGCTACTGAATGTTGCCACTGATGATAATTGGAAGTTGCGGAAACAATGTACTACCTTAGACTATAGCAATTTATAATTTGATTACTTATTAATTTGGTAATGTATGTGAATAGTAGTGAGTATGACATCATTGGAGTTTTAGCAAGAAAGCATTGACAATTACTTACAAAGACTAAAAAGTATAATTTTCTAAGTATCCTTCCTCTGTAGTTTTCAAGTGACCTTGTGTTACCTTTAGGCCTGATGCTACTGCACCTCTTGATACTAATGCAATCCAATTTTCCATTGGCAAGAAAATTTACAAAAGCAGCAAATTATGTCGTTACAATGCACTAGTCAGGTAAAGCATTACTTTTTTTCTGTTTCGAGAAAGTTTTTTAAGGTGTTATTTACTTACTGATATTGGCAAACATAATATCACCACGGAGTTGAAGCCGTTGGTTGATGCGAAAATAAAGTAGGTCCTCGGAGTTGACGACTTTGATTTGGAGGGTGTGTTGCCAGAAGGGTTCTTGGAGAAAATCATTTATGGGCAGCAAAGATTGGGAAAGAAGGATGATAGCAAAGATGAGTGTTTTGATGAGTCTGCAAGTACAAGGCCATACCTTTTTGAAGCTTGGGAGGTCAGGGAAAAGAGGAAGATAGAAAAACCATTGATGAATTGGAGGTTTTCTGCATTGAAGAATGAAATTGACATGAAAGACAATCTTAAATAGTGGGCTCATACTGTTGCTTCTGCAGTTAGATGACGAACATTCTTGTTCTAAGATTTTTTGTACTTTTTTTCTGGTTTGGATTTTGCTCCAATTTTTTGGACACTATTTGTATATAGTAGATTTACCAGGTCAATCAATATTGTTCTACAACTTGTAAATGTGAATAAAAAGTAGAAACATTTTTATGATCAGATTATGAATATTTGTGCTTTGCATTCTTCTTGAGCTATAAGCGTTGCTGCAGGATTGCAAGATTGAATCTTGGAAGAAATTGGTTTTTGGTTTATAGCTTTAGAAAGCGGTGTTTTGATATAGGCATTTCGTTTTTCAATTTTGTTGATTAAACATATGCTCCCTTTAAGAATTTGATTGAACTCCACTTTTAGTACAACAAGAATTAGAAGAGCAACACGTCTGCATACTGGCTACTGTTACAAAATATTTGAAATGCATTGAAGTCTATGTTTAGAAGAAATAGGATCCAAAACCACAAAAACTCAAACTGCATAAAGAAATTGCTTTCATTGTTGCTTCCATTGCTTAGTTAAGCTCTTGGTCATCATTTCCTCTTGAAGTAGAGCTCTGCATATTGTACATACTATAACCTCCATTCCAGTATGGATATTGTTGACCCTAAATAAAGAGAGAGAGAAAAAAAAACCATAAGAACTACAGATAGAGCATTATACTATATGATGTAAATAAATATTTAATTAATAACAACAAAAGGATTAAATGCATCCTCTCAATGTTTACCTGGACATAATTTCCATGAATAGTAGGATAACTTATATTTCCAATCTTAGACTCTTTGTAAAATGGGTTTGGATGACTACCTCGACTGAGTCCCAATAACAAAGCCATGTTTTCCTACAATAGGTAATATTTATTCAATAGGTAACACAAGCAATTCAAAATCACCATCAATAGGACAAAATGCACAACTCACATTAGTATGGGGAAAAATAGGATATTGGTTGGCAGGCATGCAAATTTGAACTCCTTGTGTAAGATGAGAACGCTAAATCCCAAAGAATAAAAGTAATTACAATTACAAAGAGTAAATATAGTAATTATAATGACAATGATTATTAACTAAGTAAAAAGATAACAAGAAGATCAATATATTTATCGCATACCTCCACAACAACATTACTCTCTTGCGTTGCAATTATGTTATCACTTCTACAAGGAGGTGGACCATCAATATGGCATATTGCATCACTTTCCATGGATTTCTACAAAAGTCGCAAGTGAAGCATGTTATGATTTATCAACTTATTAGTTATATAAAACAAATATGTTTGTTACCTGTGTTTCTTCCTCATCTGTATTGTCCTTACAAGACGTAATCTTTTTCCGTCTTTTTTGTCTTCTTTTGATTACTTGCTCAATCTTGGATTGTTTCCTTTTTGATGGTGGACGACCTTTACCTCTAGCTGACAATGGCGTAAGTATACGCTTATTTGGGTTAGGAAGAGGATCAAAGTTCGTATCATCAGGTGACTGTGGTGTTGGTTGAGTGCTACTAGCCGCTCCATCATGTTTACATAGTTGCTCCTTTAGTTTATGCATCCATCTCACCACAAACATACACTTATCATCAGAATCATTGGCTAATTCCTTAATGTCGTCAAAGGTTTTCTGCATCTTGTCAGATCTCTGTGCTTCAGGTGTGGCAACCCAATTACTGTAACTTATCCTAACCCTTGTGTGGCATCTTTTCACATCCTTCCTCCATCTCCGAATGATATACTTATCTGGCATAAAGTCAATGTCATGATGAACTAAAACATAAAGCGCATGTCTACATAATATACCTCTAAACTCAAACTTGCAGCAATTGCAATTAACTTCAATCTCACGCTCGTTAAACTGGACCTTGAAAATGACAGTCTTCTTTTTGTTCTCCTTGATCAGAATACGCTCAGCTATTTGGTACTCCAAAATTGCATTATCAGTTTCAACTGAAACCCTGTCACAATACATTATACTTGTCAATTCCTTTTGGAACTCCTTGAATTTTGAAATCGTGTAAACAGCTTGAACTTGCTTTTCCATGTCATAATGAGTTGCACAACGAACATTCGAAGAGAAAGAATCAGAATCTGCAGAAGCCTCTTTTAGCACCTTACTCCTTAATGCATTCTCATATTGCTCCACAAATTGTTTTAAAGTAGTCTTTGAGTTCACGTGGCCATCAAAAAATGCATTCATGCTCTCACTCCTTTGTGTCGTTGACATTCCAGCCCAAAATTTATTTTTCACATACACAAGCACCCAATGATGTCTCTCTGCATACAAGCTTCTTAACCATTTATGTGCTTGCTTTTTAAACTTATATTTTTCAATCATCTTAGCCCAACGTTCTTCAAAATCTTCAGAAGTCATTGAGTCATAAACAATGTTGTTTAACGAAGAGCTCATAGACTCATATTCCTTATAACTTTTGAGCTTATCAGGAACCTTTTTCATTATATGCCACAAGCACAACCGATGTCGAGTATTAGGAAAAACAACTTCAATCGCTTTTTTCATAGCTTTGTCTTGATCTGTAATTATTCCACTTGGAGCATGACCAGACATACAAGCAAGCCAGGTCTTAAACAACCAAATAAAGGAATCAGTATCTTCCCTTGAAATCAATCCACATCCCAATAAAATTGATTGCCCGTGATGATTAACTCCTACAAATGGAGCAAATGGCATATCGTACTTATTAGTCAAGTACGTTGTGTCAAATGTTACAACATCACCGAATTCTTCATACAATGCCCTACTCCTTGCATCTGCCCAAAATACATTTCTTAAACGACCATTTTTGTCTAAATCAATTGCATAGAAGAAATTTGCATTCTGAGCTTGCATGCTTACAAAGTAGTTTTGAACTGCAGTGGCATCCCCTTCTCCAAGTCTTAAGCGCCTCACCTTTTCAATATAATTTCTACAATCTTTTTCTAAACACTTCATATTCTCATGCCCCCCAACTTCAACCACCACTGAATTATAACTTTTGTTGACCCTTATTCCGGCTTTATCATTCACTTCAAGCTTCTTTTTTACAGAAGAACTAACTTCCCGAAAACACTTCCAATAACGAGTTTTTGTTGGACTCAACCCATGATTATGATCAAGCTTTACAGAATTCACTCGCCATTTCTCACCCAAGTATAAACCTGCCCTTAGCTGAGCCTTGCAATCATTCTTTATACTTGGATATGGCTTAAGAGGATTACTTGAATTACTTTTTGATGTACCTGATCGAGCGCAACACATAGTAATATACCTCAACTCTCCATCATCTCCCTTCGTTGATGATCTCTTTATCACTGGAAATCCTGATTGTCTCCCATATTCCTTGTAATATGTAGCCACTTGATCCGCGTTGTCAAAGATCATTCCAACTTGAGGCTCTTGGACCCTTTCTTCCACATTCATTTTGTTCTCCATGTTAGTCCCATTATTTTCAACTGCATGAACCCCATTGCTTTCCGCTTCAGTGGCATCAGAAGTTGCTTTAATTGCATCATCTTCTTCAATACTTCTTCAATACTTTCATTAGAAGTTTCTATTGTATGAACCCCATCACTTTCTGTTTCATTACAAGAGCTCACTTCAACTACATCATCTTCTTCAGTAAATTCATTAGAAGAACTCCCTGTTCCTAAAACATAAAACATAATTATACAAGTTTATATATTACACCATACTATCAATGTAAATATATTAGCCATATGTGCAAGTCTCTCAATTCTAGTGTATGCACTGCAATGGCTGAGAAAACAAACCCCACAACAAAATTAAGCATTTTAGATAGAAAAATTAAATTATACAAAGACTGGAAAGTGAAAAGTCCTTGTCGTAGGAGTTCGACGGTGCACCGAATCGAGCAAAGAGAGTAGCTGAAACAAAAAGTTTCCATGCGGAAAAATAAAATGAGGAGAAGTTTGTATGAGGCAAATACATAATTCATGGAACCTCTTTGTTGACAATCACTGGGGAGGGCATTGGACAAGCTATATTAATAGCCTATAGGTATAGACTAACATCTCATAAGACATAGAAAAAATGTAACTTGCTTAAAATTATTATGCAGTAGAAATTTCAATGAAAAGAAGAATTTAAACACAGGCAATGGAACACAAAGATCAGATAATTAGATATCAAGATTTTAAAAGAGATGCACAACAAGATGACAATATGACCGAGTAGCAGAAAAAAAAAACAAAAAAAGGAAATCTCAATTGCTTACAAATTTATAAATATTGCACTTCTTAAAAGTTTTTAAAAGTTATATCCCACTTCGTTGAAGATTTTAGAGCTATAAAAATATGTATGTGCTTGTTTGTATGCATGGGGTATATACATTTATATCGAGTGGGTTTCATTCAAACCGTTTTGTTTACTCTATTAATCTAATAATTACAAACCTCCAGTAAATGGTATATACAAATTTTCCAAGCTTTTCATAAAAGAAAAATGAAACTAAAACTCCAATTTCTTGAATCAAATTAACAGATAAGTAGAACCCGAATGCCAATAAATAATAAAAATAATTACCTTCATATATGGGGTTGCTAATAATCATCACGTGGTTAGTGTCCTCCAAATTTTCGGGTTCTTCTTCAACCCCCAGTGTCATTTTTCTATGATCAAATTTTCAGGTATTCACCTTAGTCTCTTTTTTATTTTGGAAAGTTGGGTTTGCAATAAGCTAGACTAGTTACTTAGGTCCTGTACCTGTAGAAGAGAGAGAGAGAGAGAGAGAGAGAGAGAGAGAGAGTGAGAACTGAAAGAGGAAATGATTTCAGATTTTTTTATTTTGGAAAGTTGGGTTTGCATTCTTACCTCAATGGTTTGAGAACTGAAACAAAAAGATCTGCTTCCATCAATGGCGAGGCTGCTGAACAAAATCTGGGCTAAAACAAAAAAATGGCATGGAAGAAGAAACAGAAGAAGAAGCATCGGGGAAGGAATGAGAGGAGAGGAGAGGAGAGGAGACTCCTCGTATGCCACAAATACCATTTAATTTCAGATTTTTTATTTATTATTAGTTTATTAAATAGATTTTAATTTAAATTAAATTATGATTAATTTGATGATGTGGACAGCCACATCAGATGCCACATAATGTGGTATACTAATGTGGTATATTAATGTGGTAAGAATAGCATTGTTGCTTTTGATACGGACGCGGTCACGGTTTCTGTACCGAATTCTTTTACAATCTCGGTCTCTGTCTCGTTCTCAGAGAGTTTATGTTTTTGAAGAAGAGGCCCAGGTTGATTCGGTGTTTTCACCATAGTATCAAACGTAATCACAATACCCAAAAGAAAAACAACAAACATTAATCGAAGAATTATAGTGCCTAGGATCAAAATATAATCAACGACAATAGTAATTAAAAGAATTGAATTTAGGGTGAGCTAATACATGCTCTGATACTAATAAATAACTTCTCACCTTTGGCTGTTATATGTCTAATAAAGCTGTGAGACGGTGAATAAGGAAGAATCTTCTACTCAATGGGGACCTTATGTTCTCACTAGAATAGGGCTAGTTTCTATATAGAACGTTTTCCTCTTGACCACAGACCAATCCATATATAGATGTAGGGGTGGTTCGGTATGGGATCCCATACCGAAACCATTGTCCCGATTCCCAAACCGAAATTTTTGGGAATCCAAAATTCAATCCCAATCCCAAACCAAATTTTTGGGAATCCCAATTTTCGGGAATCCCGAAATAATTTCGGGATTTCGGGACAAATCGGGAATCCCAAAATGCTTTTGGGCTTTTGGACTAAAATTTGACATATTATGTTTTTGGGCTAAAATTTGACATATTATAAAGTAATAAATAAAGTAACAAACTCAAAAGCAAAAATAGTAGTTACAAGCCAAGGTTTATAAATAAAGTAACAAACCCAAAATCAAAAAAATTAGTTATGAGCCAAAATTGTGTTGTATTCTCCTCACCTCCCAAATTAGCCGTGTCTAAAACAATAAACCACAAATCATTTACATAGAATTATAATCTAATAGATAATAAATACTAAGAAAATAAAAGAGGAAATTAAATTGTTTACAACTAATAAATAATGAATAATTCAAATACAAACTTTTCATATCACTAACTATTAGTACTAGTTAGAACTTAAACTACATCAAATATTAAGGTGCATCAATTATAACTATCAGTATACCCTTTATTAACCTCCCTATAGTGAATTACACCACATCAGTTATATTAATTAGTTTTATTAATGTACTAGTTTATCAATTAACAATATGCATGGACAATATTAAGGTACTAGTATAATATATGTATACTGATATATATAATCAAACTTTTCTGATGAACTTAAACTAATATCCAAAGATTAATCACATTAGTTGAGACAACTGGAATATAGAAACAAACAAAAGATTAATCATATTTATTTCAATTCGGTATGGGAATACCGAAAAAATGGAGATGGAATACCGAATCCCATACCGAAAATTTCGGTTTGGTTCGGGATTACATACCGAAAATTTCGGGAATTTTGGTTTGGGATTTTTTTGGTTTGGGATCGGGATTTTTTCGGTTTGGTTTGGGATTTTTGGGATTTTTTTCCAGCCCTATATAGATGTTAATCCAAACTACCTTCCACCTATTATGGACAGCAGTTGGTAACTGAAAGCACTACTCAATCCTTATAGGCGTGGGGCTTTCCATCAGTTCAACATGCTTGCCTTACGGTTCTACTTTAAAGGAAGGAAGTTAACCTAATAATTAACTCTAACTGATTATAATTATAATGTGACAATTAATCCTTATCATGATTTGTAGAGTCTAAATAACATTCCAACACCAATACCCAATAAAACTATGTCACACATAACTTAACTCATCATAAGCAAACGTGTGACTATTTGTGAGAAAGTTAGAGATGGCACCATAAATCATACTAGCCTTTCTACATTCATATAAACGCATGCAAAAGGCCTTCTATTTATCACAGGAGCTGGACCCCCTTAAATTTTTTAAATATGTTTGATAAATGTGAAACGAAATAACGTTAATATGTTTAATCATACAACGTAGGTCACGTTTCTTCAAGATAACATGACCAAATTCTGGTATGTTTTGATACATTGATTGAAAACAAATGATGAACAATATGTACATTAAAAAAAAAACATAAAGTTAACTTGTAATGTCATGGTTCCATTAATAAATCGTGGCCTCTTTAATCATGGTCTGTTTAATGGTTTAGTCTCATTAATCATGGTCCCTTTTATGTCCACTTACAACTATATTTCCCAGTTTTTTTTCTCGTATACTATGCTATCTTTACCAACTAAAGAGCCTAAAAAGTTTGTGACTCATTGCACCTGTGCAAAATATTTTCCTTCACTTACAGAGTGGCAAGAAGAAGGCACCACCCAACTGAACATAGTTAAATAAAAAAAACAAGTATACCACATTTTGTAAAACCACCTGACAATAAAGAAGAAATGTGACTGCCCTTTGAAGCCGATTTACACACGGTGCACGAATGAAGAAATACACAACAAAAAAGGCCACCTCCGTCGAATGACCTGAGAGAGGAAAAGATCAACTACAAAACACAGACAGAAAAGAGAGGGGGGAGGGAAAAAATAAGAACAACTTTGAAATCAACACACAGCCCGCACAGAGAGAGAGAGAGAGAGAGAGAGAGAGAGAGAGAGAGAGAGCTTAGGACATAAACCCTAACATTTTACCTGCAAGCCCAATGTCTAAGATAACGACACCAAATCATTGTATCCCTTCAGAAATATAACATGTTGCTTCACCTTGACCCAGTGCTCAATGTGGCTGGACAATAACACGTATATATCAGAGAAAACAATACAATAGGTTACAGAGACTAAGAAGGATAATATAAACTGGTTGTATATTGAAAGCAATCATTACAACCCCTCTGGCTCCAAATCATTGAAGAAGAAATATCTGCAGTAGTTTGGAAGCATGAAACTCCACGCAGAAAGTAGATTAACGTGGTTCAACTACATCTTCATGGTGCCAAGAGAACAACCACAATGGTATTGCTATTCATAGGAATATGGAATACTACATCACACTCCTTTGTACAATATATGAACTGATAAGGATTGATGATTCAGTCAATTTTGAAGCAAAACAAAAATTCCAAAACAAATAAGCATTGTTAATACCTTGTGAAATTGCAATGCGATTTTGAAACCGGAAAACCCTAAAATGTTGAGCGAATGAATGAACGCGTACTTCCGTACCCCAATCCTTTGTCATGAATCTGCAAGATAAAAAAGGATAATTACCCACTGTAGAAGCAATTGGGAGAACCAAAACAAAACTCAAAAGGAATTATTAAATTATGAATTCATAAGTAAACCTAAAATTAAAATAAATAAATAAATCCAAAACCACTGCTCGTCTCTTGAAAGCTTTGTTGGGGGTTTTAAAAATGCTTCACTACTTGGAGAGGTTTATCTCACAAAGAAAAATGTAACGCAGCGGAATTGATAGGCAAGAGAAAGAAAGAATTCTCAAAGTATTACACAAGGTTTTTATTCACTCACAAACTTAGTACAAGAGGAAACTCTCAAACACTCTTAGAAGCTTTGTTGCTTCTTCTTACTTCTTACTTGACACTCTCACTTCTTGCTACTTGCTCTCTTAGTTGTTACAAATGGTGTGGATGCCTTCTCCTTTTATAGGCATGGATGGAACCTTGGAGAAGCATGAAAACATTATGCTAGAGATATCTAGATAATTCCACTACCTTCCTAAGCTAGAATTATCTACACTAATCTTGTATGTTGGTGGAATCCTCACCATTCTTCTAGACTCTTCCACCAACTTGAACTTTGCTAGAATTCTCTAGCATGTGCATGGATCTTTCTTTGTGTATGGGCCGGATCAATTATCTTTGGGCCAAGACAAGATTACAATTCAACATCCCCCCTTAATCTTGTCTTGTGACGCCAATTGAGTTTCTTAGTCTGACAAAGTCTTCTTGTTTGAGTGGCTTGGTGAATATGTCGGCAACTTGGTCTTGAGACTTCACGTATTCCACTTGCACATCCTTTCTTGCAATGCACTCTCTTAAGAAATGATAACGGGTATCTATGTGTTTGCTCCTGTCATGGAATACTGGATTCTTTGCTAGAGCTATTGCAGACTTGTTGTTGACATAGATCTTTGTTGGCTCTTCTTGTCGCATTCTTAATTCTTTCAGCAAGTTTCTCAGCCAGATTGCATGGCAGACACATGAAGTAGCAGCTACATATTCAGCTTCACAGGTAGAGAGAGTGACAATCGGTTGCTTCTTCGACATCCATGTGAATGCAGTGTCTCCCATGAAGAACACAAATCCAGTAGTGCTTTTTCTATCGTCGGAATCTCCTGCCCAATCACTGTCGCTATATCCAACAAGTTTGTAGTTATCAGAACTTGAATAAAACAAGCCAAAGTTAACAGTACCTTTGAGGTATCGAAGAATTCTTTTGGCCGTTTTCAAATGTGTAGTTGTGGGATTCTCCATGTGGCGACTGATTAATCCGACAGCATAGAGAATATCTGGTCTTGTGCAAGTCAAGTAGCGCAAGCTTCCAACTAGACTTTTGAAAAATGTTGGATCTACGCTTTCTCCTTTGTCATACTTGGTTAGTTTGACTCCGCACTCCATTGGCGTGCTCACGGGCTTGCAGTCGTCCATTTTGAACTTTTTCAGTATCTCCTTTGTGTAGCTTTCTTGGGAGATGAAAATTCCTTCTTCGTTCTGCTTGACTTCAATGCCTAGGTAATATGCCATCAACCCGATGTCGGTCATCTCAAATTCTTTGGTCATCACTCTCTTGAACTCTTCAAACATGCTTGGATTACTCCCGGTGAAGATTAAATCATCCACATATAAGCACACAATCAAAATATCTCCATCTTTGACTTTGACGTAGAGAGCATGTTCATGAGGGCACTTGATGAAGTTGTTTTCCTGAAAGTACTTGTCGATGCGACTATTCCATGCTCGTGGTGCTTGTTTTAACCCATAGAGGGCTTTCTTCAGCTTCAGAACTTTGTCTTCATGCCCTTTGATCTCATAGCCTGACGGTTGCTGAATGTAGACTTCTTCTTCAAGGACTCCATTTAGGAAGGCGGACTTCACATCCATTTGTTGAATCTTCCAACTGTTTTGAGCTGCCAAAGAAATTAGTAATCGTATAGTTTCCAATCGAGCAACGAGTGCGAATACCTCATCATAGTCGATTCCGGCTCTTTGACTATAGCCTTTCGCCACTAGTCTTGCCTTGTATCTTTCGACCTCTCCATTGGCATTTTTCTTTGTCTTGTACACCCACTTGACTCCGATGGCTTTGTGTCCTTTCGGAAGAATAGCGAGTTCCCACGTATCATTCTTCTGGATTGCTTCAATTTCTTCATCCATTGCTTTCCTCCACTTAGTATCTTGCACTGCTTCTTGGAAGTCGACTGGTTCACAATCAGCAAAGAGACAGAAAAGTGTAGGATTATCAAGTCTTTCAGCTACCTCATAAAGATCTCGTATACTTCTTGTGCGTGGTACTTCTCTTTCATTTAGACTCCCACTTGACAATACTGATGCTGATGAATTACCATGATTGGTTGATGTTGGTGAAGCAGGTGGAGTAGTGGATTCTTGTTAAACCTCTCTTGCTTGCTCCATCATCCCTTGTTCATTCTCTTCTTCAAATTAAGGAAAGAAGTGAAGATCACCTGCATGCAGGCTAAAATCCCATTCTCCTTCTTCATCGAACATCACGTCTCGACTAATCACCGTCTTCCCATTGTTTGGATTATACAGCTTATAGCCTTTTGAATTGGTGTCATAGCCGATGAAGATGAACTTCTCACTTTTGTTGTCGAGTTTAGTTCTCTTCTCGTCTGGTACATGTATATGGGCTATGCTTCCAAAAACTCTTAGATGAGAAATACCTGGTTTTCTTCCACTCCATGCTTCTTGCGGAGTTTTTCCCCACACACTCCTTATTGGAGACCGATTGGATAGGTAGACAGCACATGCTACAGCTTCTGCCCACAATTCCTTAGGCAATTTCTTGCTTTTGAGCATGCTTCGAGCCATGTCAAGGATGGTTCGATTTTTTCTTTCTGCCACTCCATTTTGTTGAGGGGATCTTGGAACTGTCAAAGGTCGACGAATTCCATTTGCTTCACAAAACTCTTGAAATTCCTTCGAAGTGAATTCTCCTCCTCGATCAGATCTCATGGCTTTGATCTTGCAACCACTCTCCTTTTCTACAGCGGCTTTGAACTTCTTGAATGCTCCAAAGACTTCTGATTTCTGCTTCAAGAAATACACCCAGGTTTTTCTTGAAAAATCATCAATGTAGAGAAGGAAATAATTATTTTTACCCAAAGAGCTTGGTTTTATTGGACCGCACATATCGGTGTGAATGAGCTCGAGTGGCTTCTGGGCTCTTGTGGTCGACTCCTTTGGAAAGCTTTTCCTGAACTGTTTCCCAAGTAAACATCCTTCGCAAACTTGATCAGGGTGGCTGATACACGGTAAGCCTCTCACCATCTTCTTCTTGGATAATAACTCCAATCCCCCAAAGTTAAGATACCCAAAACGAAGATGCCAAAGCCAAGATATGTCTTTGTAACATATCTTGAGACACTTTGCAACATCGTTTTGAATGTTCATGGGAAACATCCTATTCTTTGACATTTTCGCCTTGGCAATTAATCTTCCTTTGTCATCTCTAAGAAAAAGGATATAATTTTTTCGTATGAAAATCATAACCTTTTTCTAAGAGTTGACCCAAACTCAAAATGTTGCTTTTCATATTGGGCACGTAGTAGACATTCGAAATTAATTGGTGACCACCATTTTCTAGGGGAATAAGGATGTTACCTTTTCCTTTTACGGGTATTTTGGATTCATCTCCAAAAGAAACGTTGCCACTCATTGATTCATTGAACTCTACGAAGATGCTTCTTCTTCCGCACATGTGGTTGCTAGCGCCGGTGTCAAGGTACCATGTATAGTCTTGGTCTCCATCATTGTTCTTGCATGCTAGTAGCACAACACCATTCTCTTCTTTCTCTTCTTTCACATAATTGACCTTCTCATCAAGTCTGCTGTTTGGAGCTCTACATTCCCAAGCATAATGCCCAAATTTTTGACAATTATAGCATTGAACTTGAGATTTTTCATACCTTGAGTTTGAGCGTCCTCTTCCGTGACCTTTTGTTGAGCTTTCTCCTCTTTCGTAGTTGCTATGGTTGTTGAAGTTCCAACCACATCCACGCCCATGTCCACGTCCGCGACCTCGACCACGACTTCTTCCATATTGGCTTCTCTCGTTGTTGAAGCTTTCTTCTTTCTTCTTTGGCTGGATATGCGTCTTGAGGAGCTGCTCATCATTCCCTTGCCTCTTCTTATGTTTCTCTTCATATGCTTGTAGCGAACCCATTAATTGCTCTATACTAATTTCTTCCAAGTTTTTAGTTTCTTCAATCGTCATGACAATGTGCTCGAACTTGGGGTCCAACGAGCGTAGTATCTTCTCCATAATTCTAACATCTTCTAACTTTTCTCCGTTTCTTTTCAATTGATTGGAAACAGCTAAGACTCTTGAGAAATAATCAGAGATTGATTCAGACCCTTTCATTTGTAGAGATTCGAACTCACCTCTTAATACTTGAAGACGAACCTTTTTCACTTGTTCGGCTCCTTTGTAAGAGGTTTGAAGCTTCTCCCATGCTTGCTTGGCAGAGGTTGCACTCGAGACCTTCTCAAAGCCATTGTCATCTAATGCTTGGTAGATGAAGTAGAGAGCCTTCTTGTCTCTCTTTCTTGAATCTTTCAAACTCTCATTCTGGGTTTGAGACAGAGTAGCTTCATCTTCTGGCTCAGTGTAGCCTTTCTCCACAACTTCCCAGACATCGTGTGCACCCAAAAGGGCCTTCATTTTGATACTCCAATTATCGAAGTTGTTGCTGTCGAGCACTGGAACTTGGAAGGCCGCCATAGCATTGCTAGCCATAGCTCTGATACCACTTTGTTGGGGGTTTTAAAAATGCTTCACTACTTGGAGAGGTTTATCTCACAAAGAAAAATGTAACGCAGCGGAATTGATAGGCAAGAGAAAGAAAGAATTCTCAAAGTATTACACAAGGTTTTTATTCACTCACAAACTTAGTACAAGAGGAAACACTCAAACACCCTTAGAAGCTTTGTTGCTTCTTCTTACTTCTTACTTGACACTCTCACTTCTTGCTACTTGCTCTCTTAGTTGTTACAAATGGTGTGGATGCCTTCTCCTTTTATAGGCATGGATGGAACCTTGGAGAAGCATGAAAACATTATGCTAGAGATATCTAGATAATTCCACTACCTTCCTAAGCTAGAATTATCTACACTAATCTTGTATGTTGGTGGAATCCTCACCATTCTTCTAGACTCTTCCACCAACTTGAACTTTGCTAGAATTCTCTAGCATGTGCATGGATCTTTCTTTGTGTATGGGCCGGATCAATTATCTTTGGGCCAAGACAAGATTACAATTCAACAAGCTTCTAGTCGAGTTTATGAGGCTAGATAGAACCCTTTTTCTGCTGACAGTTTATTTCCTCTTTATAACCGTTCCACTCTATTTGCAAAGCCAGAGATGTAGAGGAAATACTAATGTAGGAGTGAGAAGTTGGGGGAAAAAGTAATGCTATGTGTGCGATGGAAACGTTGAGGTTTGAATCCCACGTTCAATTTTTTTTTTTTTTCCTCTTTTATTTATTATGTTGAAGGAATGAATGAACGTGTACTTCCGTACCCCAATCCTTCGTCATTAATCTGCAAGATAAAAAAAGATAATTACCCACTGTAGGAGCAATTGGGAGAACCAAAACAAAAATCAAAAGGAATTATTAACTTATGAATTCAGAAGTAAACCTAAAATAAAATAAATAAAAAATCCAAAGCCACTGCTCTTCTCTTCAAAGCTTCTAGTCGAGTTTATGGGAAAATTTTTAGGTGTACCGGGTACACCAAATTTTTTTGGTGTACCCTCACTCATTAGAATTTTTTTGGTGTACAAAAAGTGAGGGTGCACCAAATTTTTTTGGTGCACCCTCACCATTATGAGTGAGGGTACACCAAATTTTTTTGGTGTGCCGGGTACACCGAAAAATCCCTCGAGTTTATGGGGCTAGATATAACTGTTTTTTCTTTTCTTTTTTTCTGATGGCTTATTTCCTTTTTATAACCGTTCCACTTTGTTTGCAAAGCCAGAGACATGGAGGAAATGATGATGTGGGAGTGGGAAGTTGGGGGAAAAAGCAATGCGATGTGTGCGATGGAAACGTTGAGGTTTGAATCCCACGTTCATTTTTTTCCCCTTTTTTTTTTCTCTTTTATTTATTATATACTAGCATATAGGCACACACAAAGTGTGTGAAAAATTTTTATTTTTGTTTTTGAGATAAAGGGAGGAAGAGAGTGATAGAGAATGTGAGAGTGAGAAGTTTTTTTTTTTTTTTAATTCTTTTTTTTAATTAGACATATGTTAGGATTACATGTAAGTGAGGCTTTAAAAAAAAAAGCAAAATTTGGTTGTGTGAAGTTACATTTCTGCCCATATTTCTTATTCATGTTCTATTTTAATTAAAGGGTTAAACTGATAATTTCATAGAATTTTGATTTACAATGAGTGTCTTATTAATTAGTAGAGATTTTACCTTTTAGTTTTAGAAAATAACCATCCTGAAATATTCATAAATTCCACATAGCTTTTGTATCTGAAGTAGTTGAATTTATCATTTGTTTTTCTTCTTTATTTTCTATTTTATCATATTATCACTTTTTTTTATTTAGACAAATCTATCCCTTATCAAATTTCTTTATAATTTATTGCATGAGTTAAGTTTTTTTGTTTGAGGAACTTTTACGTTCAATTATTTTTTGTGAAACCTTGAGACACCAAAACTTACTTTTGACTTTCTAATATTAGAGATTAGAGATTTGTCAGCTTGGACAAAAATTGCAGGCTCTGTCCACCAATGAATACTACTCCTTTTTATCTTTTATTATTTTAGTTTTTTTTTGGTTTGACCAGCTCCAAAAACAGCACTCCAGAAATTCCACTATTCAACCAAGGGCCATATCAAATGAAAACTGAAAACAAAACTTTTTATTTTTTTGTCGGAAAACAAAAAAATTATCTTTGAAAAAAATGAAAACAAAACAAAAAATACAACTAAAAGTACTCTTGTAGAGGCATCACTTTATCTTGTAGTCTTGTAGATGGTTGAAAACTTGCCAAGTGTTCGAAAATAACTGAAACACACGTACATCAGTCTTCTTGTACATAACAAAAAGACTAATGCTAGGAAATTAAATTTTATAAACTAAATAACTTGAAAGTTTATAATTGAATTATTACTTAATCGTTGATAAACGAGCTAATTTTTTATTAATGACATATCATTTAGTTTACTAATTTAGTCTATAAACTCGATCTCTCTAATATTACTCTAAGAAAAAAAAGTTACCTCAGTATATTTTGGTACCGCTCGTTTGTGTCTGGTGTCTTAATAAAACGTTTGGACTGAAAAATGCCCCCTCCAATGCAACTATCAAAGGCACATCTAATATCCACTTGCACTGGTAGGTCTCATAATTCAAGAGCTCAGAACCACCATGGGAACCAAAAACCAAGAGCTTCACATTGCTTTCTTCCCTTTCATGGCTCAAGGCCACATAATCCCCTTCATGGACTTGGCCAAACTATTTGTCTCCAGAGGTCTCAAAGCAACCATAATCACCACCTCTCCAGATGCACCCTCCATTCAAACCAAACTTCAAAACTATTCTAGTTCCCAAATCCAAATATTCACAATCAAAGTTCCGACTGCAGATGTTGGATTGCCGGAAAACTGCCAGAACTTGCACTGTGCCACCACCCCAGAAATGCATTTACAATTTTTGACGGCAACCGGCTTGCTTGGTCCGCAGATTAAGCAGTTCTTGCAGCGTAAGAAACCCAACTGCCTTGTGGCCGACATGTTCTTCCCTTGGGCTACCGACTTGGGTTCTGAATTTGGTATTCCGGTGCTCCTATTCCAAGGAATCGGTTATTTCCCCTTGTGTGCTATCCTATGCGTGCACCTGTACAAGCCTCACCTGTACGTCTCATCGGATTCGGACCCTTTCGTGATCCCCAACCTACCGGGTGCGATTGAGCTAACAAGAAAAAAGCTGCCGGATTTTGTTACGAATAGGGAAGAAAACGTGTTTACAAAGTTGTTAGGGGAAGGTGTGAAAGCGCAGAAACAGAGCTATGGGGTTCTGGTAAACAGCTTCTATGAGCTCGAAGCTGCTTATGCTGATCACTACCGAAATGATCTGGGGATCAGAGCTTGGCATGTGGGCCCACTTTATCTAGCCAATGAGAGGCTGGTTGAAGAGAACAAAAGCTCAATTGAAGAACAACACGAGTGCATCAAATGGCTTGATTTGAAAAAACCCAGTTCAGTTATTTATGTGTGTTTTGGGAGCTTGGCAACTTTTGTGGATGCCCAGCTTCTGGAAATTGCAGAGGGTCTTGAAGCTTCAGAGCAAAATTTCATTTGGGTTGTGAAGAAACAAGTGGGGGAAGATGGTTGGCTGCCTGAAGGATTCGAAAAGAGGGTCGAAGGGAGGGGATTGGTGGTAAGAGGGTGGGCACCACAAGTGAAGATTCTGTCGCACGCGGCGGTGGGAGGGTTTGTGACGCACTGCGGGTGGAACTCAACGCTCGAGGCGGTGGCTGCCGGGGTACCGATGGTGACGTGGCCGATTTTTGCGGAGCAGTTTTACAACGAGAAGCTGATCACGCAGGTGCTTGGGATTGGGGTTTGTGTGGGGGCCAAAGAGTGGATGAGGGTTGTGAGGGAGAGTGTGAGGAGGGATGAGATAGAGAAGGCTGTGAGGAGGGTAATGGTGGGTGAGGAGGCAGAGGAGATAAGGACCAGAGCTAGGGTTTATGGAGAGTTGGCTAGGAGGGCTGTTGAGGTTATGGGATCATCTTCTGAAGATTTGGATGCTTTGATTCAAGAGTTACGGTCTTATGATATTGCTCAAGAATTATAAAAGATAACAATTTTGAAATTACCAAATTTGGCCTTTTATGTTTCAATTTAAGATTGCATCAACTATTACTTTGACAATATTTTTGCAACTCTGGCATTATATTTTAGTCAACTTCACTTTAAATTGAATAATTCACAAATCTTTAGGCAAGCAAGAAAAAATATGTTTTTTTTTATTTAAAACAAATGATATTATCTAGTGAAGAGGAAGCTAAGTTTCACACTGAACTAGAAATAATGTAATTCAAATCTAATCTAAAATCTTTTTAAAAAAGAGTGCAAAACAAACAAAATGTTAATGTAATTTGGGCCACGCAAAGATGGACCATCTTCGACTGCCTCGTATTCCATCTTGTACTCAAAAAATCTCATCATTTGAACTAACATTCAAATCCGAGATAGTATGGCAAGTTTTAGCTTATGCTTAGATCAATTGTATATTGGAAGTCCTCTGTTTTAGTGTTTTGGGTCCGTCTTGTAACTGATGATCGGCTTAGAACTTCGATTTTCAAGTATTGCTCTATTTATTTACTTATATTTCGGTGAATAGACAAATAAATAGCAACAAAAAGGGAGTGTTGTAACGGTGCAAATGCCCGTCGTAAATGTGAGCAATCAAGTATGACCATACTTCTTAACGTATTTTAACGAAAAGTTATCGGTACTGTTCACTTTAACGAAAAACTATTTTTTTACACTAAAAAGTCAATCCTGATACTATTCACTTTACCCTTTATTTTGTCCTTATCGTTAAAACTCAAAGTTTTCAAGCCTTTTTCATTAGTTTTCCTTTCTTATTATTAACCACTTTGCCTATAAAACAATCATCCAAGCAAGA